CCCTCATCGTGGACAGCAGACCTTGGGCATTGGCATTTAGCTGCTGAACTTATTGCTGCCATCATATGCAAGAATGGAACTTCTCTTTTGGGGAAATGCAAGCTTGGAATCGCATACCGAGAGGCAAGAAGAACAGCAAATGGCTCGGAGAGCAAACTCGAGATGGAGACGTCTCACACTGGACCGTTAAGAAAATCAAGTGGGCTCGGGCAGGATGCGATCACTCGGAGGGACGATGGCCGCTGGTCTGGACCGTCGATGAACTGGCAGCCCAACGGAGGTAAAAACACGGCCAGGATGGGGTGTCACCGCCGCAGAGATGGAGCGATGAAGAAAGCTCACGTGCAGGCGCTCAATGGGATTGGCGCATCGCGAGTCCGTGACAGATGGGCGACAGCTTGGATAATGAGCATTCATCCAGCAGCGACTGCTGACGATGACGATGATGGTTACTTCTCAAATTTCATTCCTAGCTGGGGGGGGGGTTTACATCAACTGGTTGTTTGGCGCCAAATAAAAATCGGCTATTGTCACGCACTAGCGTGACAATGGTACGCAGGGAGTGGTGGTGTTGTGGACTCAGCTCGCCCAATCGGAACGGGGACTCCAACACACACGAGCAATTAAAGGCCGTTGCGTGAGTCACACGAGCATGCTTACGGTCCCGCAAGTTAACATTTATCTAACTTAGTGTTTTAAAAGTTTGGGCAGCGCGGGGGGGGTTAAGAATGCACCATGGTTCGCAATCGGAATGGTGGACTTTCAAATCCTGGTAAGGGAGGGGGGGGTCACAACCCAGGGTTTCATAATCCCTTCAGGGTCACGAAAATTACTCTAACTGTACTGCCGATTTGCATATTGTTTTTTTTTACTATTTAAACTATACACTCTTTATTTTACCAGGTAAGGCCCACTGAGCTATAATAGCTCTTTCTCCGAAGGGACCTGGCTATCACAAATGATAGGACAACGAAATTGCATATCGGGTGGAAATGTATAGCAGACCAAATACTCGATACACACGTTGATTCGAAATGTGGAGATAAAAACTAGAGGACCCGCAGAAAAATCCACGCGATCACGGGGAGCACATGCAAACTCCAAATATATAGGCGTCGGGGTTGGAATCGAACCCACGACCTCTTGTATACCAGGTGAGGTAGTTAACATCTCCTAGCCACCGTGGCGAGATATTAACTGCCTCGCCTGAAGTAAATAGTGGTTGTCCAATAGATAAAGACTTACCCCTGCTATAGGAATGTGGAATTTGCACCACTGGCTCAGGGCCATAAATGGGATCAGAGTTTCCGCCCCGCGTTCAAGTGCGCATAAAACCAATCGGTGCGATGTTCTCTTTACGAGCCCCAAACCACAATTAACAAAATGTGCGAACAAAACGAGGCCGTGTTTGCGCCGCTGCGTGGGTGTTCGCGCGGTCCTGCCGTGCGGCCGTCAGATGCCGCTGTTCGGCAATGGAGTCTGACGCTTCGCTCCACGGGGGGAATCTTCCTTCAGTTCCTCAAGCCCCGGCTGAAGAAAACTTCCCAGCAGTCACGTGAAACGAAACGTCGGGCATCGTGCCGAACAACACGATGGACATCGACGACTGCTGCTACTGCGAAGGATGGTGCAATGTTGCGGTATTTATTTAGTTTTCCCCCTCTGCGCAATGTAGGAAATATTAAACGCGTTATCCAAAATTCCGCAGCCGACCCAGCATTTAGCTGATACGTGATTTTCGGCCGCACTGAAGATGCCCCCCCCACCACTTCCCTGCCCGACTATGCCATGTGATAAGTCACACGGCTGCCATCGCCAGCCAACCCCTTCCCGCCCCCCTCCTACCGCCCCGACCTACATTTCACCACAGACCAGTGCTCGAGAGAAGTCGCATTACTCACCGCACGGTGCCTTGGTGCAGAAACTTTTGACACTCAAAACCCCCGGCAGTCGTTTTGAAAGAGAGGGAAATATGAAATATTTATTAAGTGCTCCCACTGTGGGCATTTGAGATAGCCTCAGCATGACGGGCAATTTTCTTGGATCCGCCATGAAAGCCGCCTCATATTTATAAACCACAACAGCGACACACATCCGAACGTGTTCTTCCATAGGGGGGGCTCTATATGCCACAAACGGTGGACCCATATCCTATATACACAACTACCCTACAAGACCATTGAACCAAGTGGAGGAGCTACACACAGGCCCCACAAACTTCATAAATTGGCTCAATGAACATTACGTAAAGATCTCAAGTGCTTTTTGACTCTTTACATGAAGCCAATGATTTGTCACGGATCACGTTTGCATTGAACACAGTGTGGATGAGACACACACTCGGACTGGTAGACTTCAGCATGGGAGCAGGAATTAACAAGTCAAGTTCAAGGGGAAAGGTGTCGATAGCAGAGTGATTAGGGAGGCGACTGACCAACGATTCGAAGCAGAGTTGGAACCTGGGTCACGACTTGCATTGGACAGCACCTGGAAATATCAGGTACAGTATTTGAAAGTTTTGAGCAGAAAGGTGGAAAAGAGAGGGCAAGACAGCAAAGGATTCTTGAATCTCACCACGTGGAGCAAGTTGTCATAAAATCGTTGAGTCGATGTGTCATTACACACCCCTACAGCGGACGAGACTGGCAGCAGGCATTCCAGACAAAGGGCGATTGGGAAATCTCACAACGATTTCAGATTCGATTCCCATTTTGCAATTTTCTCCTAACCACCACTCTATCAACCCCCACCGTACCCGCCTGCCTGCATATCACAGTTATGAACAGCTGCCAGAAATTAAATGTTTTCCCATGCGCGACCGGGAATGGAATGCGACAGGGGTTCATAACGTGCTCGGCACGGTGAATGTACCTGGTGTACGTGCGAGTGAGCGAGCGAGCGCACCCGCGGATCGGTTAATGAGTGCGAGGCGTTAATCAACGCCTGCCCCCAGCGGCTTTGTGTCGCTCCCGTTAAAGAACACGCCACAAGCGTGAAAACACAAAAGCTAATGGAATCAATTATGGATGCGCAACAAAAGTTTGCAACCACCATGTCCCACTCGGGCATAGCGAAGCCAGACCGGAGGGAGGTGATACAGGCACGCGGGCAAATTAGCGGCGAGAGGGGGGATTTTTTACCACGCTGAATTTTTGTCATGACGCTATATTCATGACCAATAGAAGGGGACCGGCTTAACACACTGCTGCCATCTCCGAGACGATTCAATTGTGGATGCCCGCATCAGTCCACTGCTTGATGGAGGCCTCTATCCAAGGTGTCGCCATCTCTCCGGGGTCTCTTTCCGTTCAGCTCCCGCACAGTGCAAGGCCAGCTCCCCAAGTTGAGCTCGCCTAGTTCTAAATAAAGTTCATCAACTGTGTGAAGATTAATGATTACACAATCAGGACATTGTGATGTATTGTTTATGCAATGACAATCGAGCTTATTTAACAGATCAACTGGGGTGTAACAGAAGTGCAGTGGTGGTTTGTGCGCTGCGCTTTGAACCCCGCGACCCCAGTTTTATTCCTAGCAATGGAAAACATCGGTGGCACACGGTACTTGAACCAATCCTGGGTCCCAATGGTTGATTAAGGCCTCCGTCACACCCCGCTCCCCGGCCCAAGCCGTCGCCATCTCTCGCCGCCCTACAACGTGACGATCTGCCCAGCGCCGACAAATGAGCCGATTTGCTGCTTTCTCATTGTCAATGCTGTTCGTCCGTACTTTTGCGGATGGCAACGCCAGACACTGGAGCATTTATGCAAGTGTAAGTCAGGCGGGTTGGTGCAACGTGATCCACCAGTGTAAAATATGAGACCACAACAGGACAACGCAGGGTCGTTTTTGACGATGCCGGACCACGCCGGTGAGTTATGGGAAGAGAGTGGGCCTTGGGGGCATGGCACGTTGCTACAGAAGGGGTGGCGGGTGGGGGGGGTGATGGCCGATGGTCGAGGGTAACGATGGAGTGGCAGGCAAGGCGCCCGGCAGGACGTTCGCCGTGGCGACACGGCGCAATGAAGTGGAACAAGTGCCAAAAGGAGCACAAACAGGAAGGAAGACAGATGATAGCAGTCGGAACTCCTCCTCGCCCGTGATCACGAGACGATTCACGCAAAACGCCCTGTAATCCGTAAAAAATGGAATCTCAGTCCTCCTGTCCAAGTTTTTCACCATTAAACCCCACGGGGTCGTAATGTTTCATCATCGGTCTTGTCAAAATAAACTTCCAACATCCGACAAACCGTGTGTGTGTCCCCCCCCACACCCCCTGTCCCACTCCACCCCGACAAAACCGGCAGCCTCGCGGAGACCGACTAAACCCGCCGAAACCCCAGGACCCTTGGCTGCATCGGAATCCCAGCTATGCTCAACTGTGGTTTGGTTGAGCAGAGTCCACGAGGCACGCAGGGGAGAGCCAGGTCCAGTGTGAAAGTTCCCTACCCACCCCCCCGCCACGGGCCCGTTCCCACGACAACAACGCAGAGGCCGCCGCATTCCTGAATTGAGAGAGAGAGAGGAGAGACGGGACCGCACCGCCACCTTCCCTTCTTTCCGAAACAACCGCCGGCGCGAGACGGGTGGGGGGGTAGAGCCGGGCCGAGCGCCGCCCGTAGCCGCGGAGGCTCGAGCGGCACAGGCGCGCCATTGTCTCCATCTCACACAATGCGCGTGCGCGCTCGCGGGAGGAGAGCCGTGGTGGCGCAGTTGGAGCAAAGTGCCGCGAGGGATTGTCGAGGCCAGCGCCACTTGCGCCACACATTGCCCCAACAGTCTAGAAAGGTTATACGGTGGGCGGGGGGGGGGGGGTGACGGTAGTGGTTTTGAGCACTGCGCTTACCGAAACCTGTGCACACCCCGCAACAACCTGTCACGCGAGCGGCACTCATCCATGCGTAGTAACCAACGATCGAGGCACAAGAACCCTGCTTGGGCTTGAACCGGGAGTCCTTTTTGAGTCGGGAAGCAAAAGCACGCGGCACTTCTCTCCTCACCTCCGGCAGCCGAGGATGCGCAGCCAAGATGGAGCTGCTGCTGCTGCTGCGACAAGGCACGACTTGCATCAGACGGAGGGCAGACGCCGCTTTCAACGGAACCGGTCGAACCAGAAAAATCTGTTTTAATAACTGTTCGGTGGCAGGAGACGGGGGAAGGGTTTGAAGCACAAGACACATTGTCCCATTCGGTGGCTGTTTTATTATTCCCTAGCTGCTCTCCGAGGAATCACCTGGTGACCGACCTGTCACTATCAATAAAGCGGCTCGTGTGTATGGCGCTGGGCCGGTAACCGCATTGTCCAATATTAACGGCCGAGAGGGAGGGGGGCTATCGGTGTTAGTGTAAAGCAATGAAAAGCCACTGACGTAATGTGTATTTATACAATGCTGTACAGTCTCATGTCACTGCAGACAGCGTGGAGAGACGCGGCGCAGTGGTCAGTGAACCGCACTATCCACAAAGTCACCAGCCAAAGTTGCACTCTCGGCCAGTGAATTCTAAACTACAGCAAAGGATTGACAAGGGGCTATAATAAATAAAAACACAATTGTGGCTGGAAGAATCAATGTGTCTTTCTATGTTCGTGTGTATGTTGCAATTAGTTTGTGTGGCCCGGTTCGGCCACTGGAGGCACACAATGCACCACAGCGCAAAAACAAACACAAAACTCATCGATTCTTAAAAACCAAACGTCACTGCCCAAAACTTCTGTCACACCGTACGTAGCCAACGGTGCTAATCGGAGGTGTGCGGGGAAGGGCAACAAATTTAAACGCAAACTATCGTGACAATTCATGCAATCACGAAAAAGCAAGGCAGGAGAGAGGGGGCGCTGGCGAATCATTACATGTCGAGTGGTCAGATTAGCATCGATGCGCATTCAAGGTAAAAACACACCTCGGACCTCAAGTAGACGGGGGAAGTAACGTGGGGATCAAGTTCCGTGACCCTCACGGGAATTGCTAATTCTAAATCAATCAACTAAGTGACCAGCGGACGACGGCACGGACGTAGAGAAGACATCGCGGACCACCACAGCACCGCTGTACATTTTGGCCGATACATTTTCTGAGAAGTGACCTCATCCCAACGTTGCGGGAAAACGGGGCCTTTAACAGACAGCATTCCATCCGATTTTCACAGGATGGCCCAACAAGGCCACCGCACTTTGTGGGATGATGAGCCAGCTCATCGTTGATTAGGGGTAGGAAATCTCCTTTCCTTGGGCCAAATAGGACACTCAAAAACGTTCAAGCGGGCCCACACATTAAACACACACGACAAATTATCCAATAATGCAAAAAATTAGGGTTCGCCTGCACCGCAGTAATACGAGGCCTGGGCCTGCTTTCATCTCACTAACGCGTTGTTGGTGTCGGGTCCAATTTCAATGGTAAGACACGGGGCTACGATGCTTGCAGTCAAGGAGAAATATAATTGCGGCCCGTTTTTAAGTGGTTGGCCTCATGTGATCACAAGACCGTGTGAAACGAAGTCGTGGGTCATACCAGGCCTCTTGGCCTTAGGTTCGGAAACAGTGTTTTAAATGAATGATGACCCAACTCTGCAAATTTGCCAAACTCTGCAAATTTGCACAAAGCTGAATGTGTGCAAATATGCAATAACAATGCCATGGCTGCTTTTCTCTCTCTCAGTTTGACAGAAATTACATTTTAGCTCTGGATTTTTCACTTTGTCCACAGACTGCAACACAAACACGTCAAGGGACAGTTCACCTGTTGTGTCTTTCAAAGACATGAGAGATTAAAGCTGCGATTGGACTTCTCTACCAAGACCATAAAAAAAAGAGACTGACCCAGGGCGGCGCAGTAGCGTGGTTCACATCACTTGTAACTGACGTTAGCCATTGAACAGTACCGCTAACCACAGCAGTGCAAACTACTGCAGCACCGCTCGTCATTGTCATACAGATGAATACAAAAAGACAAAGAACACCAGTATAACCTTCATAACAGATTGTGAGGACAAGTGCTGTTAGCGAGCATCTACGAAGGCTGGCATGGCACAGGAGCCGCCAGTGGAGACATCGCCCCGCCGGGACCTGTTCAGATATCACTCGTCACCGATTTTAGACGTGGCCATGAATCAAACTCAGGGTCGTCGGGTTTATAACCCTGCACGCGAACCTGTGCATTACCGCTCTACTCCACCTCCTAGATAAGAGGAATCACAAATAATAGGCTCGCAGCTAGAGAGCTTCATTTGTACAGAGACGCTCTGATGGTCTGCTAAACTTTTTTAACGAGAGGCCGAGCAGCACACTTCGCTGCAGATGACAAACACACGCACAGCCGCACAGCCTGCAGGCAATGGCCTTGACCTTGGCCAAGTCCTAACCAAGCATGGCAGAAAATAAGTGCTGCCAGGTTTGAGATAGATTTGCCAGTCACCCACACTCACCTTAGATAAACAGCCCTGGGTTTTGTTATAACCCTCAATTTTACCATTTACTTGCCGGCACAGCACATTTTGTTTATCAGTCTCAATGGTCTCGCCCGATTCTGCCAGGTCCCCAAAGATTACATCGCTGCTGATAATGTGATATGCATGTTCTGCACCGTAGTGGACACACCATTTGTTTAGCGTAAATCCACACAAGCTGGTCAATGCTTTTCAAAAGCACGTACAGTGAATCCTGGCGGGAGTGGGTGATCATAAACCGCATCGGGACTTCCCACGGGCGATGTGAATAACTGAAGCACAAGTGGCGATTACAAGACAACACGCACTCTTAACTGTGGCAAACTTCACACAAAGGACAACAGTCCCCCCCCTTATATTCACAACCTGGTGGGATGGCAAAAGGTAATTTCCACGTCCGATGATGTTCTTGACTGCCAATAAAAACTCGATCTAGCAGAATCAGAATCTTTATTTATCCTGGAGGAATTTGCTGAGCAAGAAAACTGTTTTTCACATTTGTCCAGCAGGGGTGGGTCAATAAGTCCATATTAATATTTCTATTCGACAGAAGTGAATCATCATCAGCCACAGCAGCCATGATCAATCCACCGCTAGATTTGGATCTGACAAAGCCGTTGCCACATCTGGAAGTCCTGAAATGTAACTATCCATCTAGCACAGGGGTCGGGCAAACCAAAATAACAAGAGGAGCCATTTTTTTCTAATTCGGTGAGAAATTCAATATTTCAAGAGCCGCAATGCATGTGAATACGAGACGGTGGGTCCTTAATAAATAACGTCACGAGCAGTCCTTCAAGAGCCACCGAATACGCCTCAGGAGCCGCAAGTTGCCACCCCCTGGTCGAGCACCTGCGCTTGAGCTGTTGGAGGTGTTCCCTTCGAGCTACCACTCCATAATTCGTCTTCACCACCAGGCTATCATCGCTTCTGGTGACGTGTCTCACCCAAGCCCATGAGTGTTAAATCAATAGAATATGCCTAACTTACATTGATTATGACATTCAATAACTCAGGTTATTTTTTTATTTTATTTAACACCGTATGCAGCGATGATCGTGACTGAGTATGCTTATTTTTTTAAAATATATTTAAATTTGGCCACAATTTTTTTTTGTATCCAGAAGTCGTGAAGTTTTACTCACAGGGCAGGGAGATAGTCTGAAGTTCTACACTGCTTTAAGTCTTGTGCTGAGCACAAACCTACGTACAATCTCCATCAACTGTGAACCAAGTAATTTGCGTCTCACAAAATGAGAAATTATCACCCGGGTTCATGGACACATTTACTGACTCCAACACAGACAAGAGGCTCCTGGGCCAAGTGCTGTTATACCTATTAAGAATTGATAGGTGCTTAATAAACACACTTAACCACACACACTCGCTGTAATACCATCCGTTCAACTACACGTCTATTTATAAGTGTTCGGAACTTCATTTCCCTGCGTTAAGTCATTTGGCTGTCGTCCTTTCAACAAAACACGTGTTCCCGTATCCACGGACGGACATCAGCTTAGACTACCCCGCCCCCCATCACTTTGACTTGCGCGTCTGGAGCAGATCAGAATGAGAATATTGTATTTATCCTGGAGGAATCCGATGATCTATGAAGCTCTTTTTCACAGATGTCCACTGCGGAACTGCTGGGTGATTTCTTGCTGCCAACACCGACAGTAATCATAGGCGTGCATCATCACCAAACATCATCAGCCACGATCAAGGCTAAGATTCTGAAGCAACAACCTAAAAAAACCACGCTAAAAGAAACATCAGAAAAAGTGACACGCATCCACCAAAGTTATTCACAGTGTCAGAATATTTTACGAAAATCGGGTTTGGACAAAGCCACGTCTGTTTAACGGAGTTAAAGGATCAAGCGTCTCAGAGTCAAAGATGCTTGCTTGAGATGTGCAAATGTACAGATCTGCTCACACAGCAGAGTTTCCATTTGTGAAAACGTTTCCCTCCTTCTCTGGGGGACCAGCATAGCCAAGTCCAGGGGTTTTTTCCCCTCTCTCTCCAAACAAAAGGTCAGGGGAAATAATTTATGGCCAAACCTTCGGGCTGGCGTGGGTGTTTTTGCCGCGGTGCTTTTTAAAGCGAAATTCAGTCAATGATTTTAACATTATACGATTTTACATTATACGGTTTTTACGTTATACGATTTTCCCTTAAAGTTTTTTCATCATGCGATTTTACACTACAAACTATACATTATACGATGTTTACGTTTTTACATAAGATTTTACATCATACGATTTTACATTATACGTACAGTAAATGTGATTTGAAATTGTTCGAGTTCAAGGTTATTGGCACAAAGCTTGTCACAGTTGCCGTGCTTCGATTGTCATCAAGTACAAAGTGAACTGCAGATCGGGGATGTATTTGTCAGGCTCTCTTCAAGATCCTTCCAACCTCTCAACTCTCATCTCACCCTACAACTTCCCACCCAACCACACACACCCTCTCTACTCCATCAACCAAGGGCTTGCTGTGAAAGCCCCGAGTCAACCTTCGCCCAGTGGGAGGTTACTCACTCTCCCCTGCTGCTCCTACCGTCTGGAACTCCCTTTCCCCAGCCATCCACGCTGTCGCCGCATCACTCTGTTCAAATCCAGGCCACCTCTTTTTATCATCTGGCTATGATTTTACCGGCTCTCGCTCTCTCTCTGAATTAATT